TATATTTTAATATTAAAATTGAATTATTAAGTATTTTGTATTATTTTTAGTTTAATATATTAACAAATTGTGATGTTTATCGTCTTGAAAACTACAATAGTAAAAGATGAGTGAAAATAAACAATTAATTCTTCGTGGAATTGTTTTTGGAAATAACCGTGTTGGGCGTGAACATCTATTACAACGGTTGTGTACTGGCTTGTTATTGAAAAATTGTTACAGTCCAAGTGTTGAGGATACGTTTCATAAAATATTAGAATTTGAAGACAAAATTTTTGATGTGATGTTACTTAAAATGTACACTGGAGACACGTTAAAAATTATCCAGGAGTTGTGCATTAAACAATCAAATTTTTATATCATTGCTTATGCAATAAATGACTCTGAATCCCTTGAGAATGTGTGGAAATACAGAGAAGACATATACAAAGTTTTGGAAATAAATAATCACGAAGAAATACCTTTAATTCTCTGTGCTACAAAATTGGACTTAGAACGAAATGTTTCTTCTCACGAAGAAATCAAAATGATGAAAAAATGTGGAACTACACTGTTTTACACCTCTGCTAAAAAAGATATAGGTGTTCAAGAAATGGGTTATAGCTGCGTTGCAAACTATTTTAAAATACAAAAGAAAAAAAGAAAAAGATAATAACAAACGTCTATGTCTTGTGATGTGATTTACAGTCATCTAAAAACATTAACAAAAATCATTTTTTGTATTTAAATGAAGTTATTGATATTTTTATTGTTTTTATTATAAGAAATGACAAAAATCCAATTGAAAATATTTTATCGATTGTTTGATAAAATATGTCTAACAATATAACTTACTTCATTTTATTTGGACTGATATCAGTGCATATGATGTTTTGTAAGTGAATATAAATAAAACTATATTATTGGTTTTGTGAACAATAATTAAACTCTTGACCCAAAATTCAAAAATTACTTTTATAACACTTTTAATTCAAAATAACCATTATATACTCTCGTTTGATAATGTTTTTCTTTGCCCAATTATCCAAAAACCAAATAACATATAAGACCAACATGACCACTAGGACGTCCAAATCCAACAAACAGAATGTTGATATTATTTGAAACACCATATATATATTGTTTTACATTTATATATATTCATATATATATTATGTTTTGTAAACTCTAAATTGTAAATTTTGTGTATTTAAACTTGATATTTTATTGAATATATGATTTTTGACAATTGGACAAAATTAATTAAATTCATTGTTTATTCTGACTATAATTTATAGTTTTTAATGAAAAACAGTTTGTTGATAAAGAGACACAAATATATGTTTCATTATCAACATGTTACTTAAAAAATTGCTTAATTGTCATTTTCAAATTATTAATTAAATTATTACAAAATAAATTTTACATTTTAATAATATCAACTTATCCATTAAATATTACAGGAATGATTTATCATAATGTGTTGTTCTAATTTGATTATATTGTGTATCAAATGATAATAATACATGTATTTATGTTAAACAGATTATTGAAAAAAATTAAAAAATAAAACTTGCAAACTATTTTATTGTTAAAAGTTTGACATCAAACTAAAAATGTTAATTTTGAATTATTGTATAAATATTATTTATTGTAACACCCATTTCTTATAGTTATTGTAAACATAAATAGACATTTATATAAAAATGTTATATTGCCCAATTTTCTGGACTCGTAAGGGTTGATAATAAAAAGTAAAAATCTAAATTGGTTGGTTATTAAATTTTTAAAAACATTTTTGAGCCCAATTTTATTAAAAGAATAACATTGTTCCAAAAAAATGATAAAGTTTTTACCATTTTTATACCTTAAAAAATGTTTTTTGATTTTTGTTTTTATGTGTTGTTTTCATTAATAATATATATTTCTTTTTTATGTTATTAACATCCGCAATTTGATATATACATAGTACATACATTTAAAAAAAATAAAAATTACACAATTATTAAGTGTATTTGTTTAAAGTTGTTGTCTATTAAATTTTTATCAAAATAATGATGAATGACTTTTGAATAATATGAGTAATAAAATTTCGATACTAAAATAAAAATGAAATCGATGCACATGTTTGTTTGAAGACTCGGGTTTAATATCACACGTGTTTTTAAATGTGATTTTATCCATCCAACTTTATTGTAATGTTTCAGTTGTAATCTTGTTCATTTAACATTTTAATTGTGTAATTCCAATAAACAAATAAGAAATCATTTATGTAATCACAATGATGGCGTGAATGAGGCCCGGAAAATACAAGATGATAGTCAAAAGTAAATTAATGAAGAAGTCGCACCCACAACCCTTCTTCAAAAGAACAGCGAGTGGTGGGAGAAATATCGCAATGATTATCAGTGATAATGTTGAGCAGCCCATTATGTCGAATGTAACTTAAGTTTCTAAAAATATCTTTTATATCATTGAATGGATCTTTTGTCTTAGTTATAATAAACAAAGGAAACATTCATATTAGTTTTCTTTATATTTAAAACAAACAATTTAAAATCCAATTAATTATATTATTGCTAATAGTTATTTTAATTAAAATAATTAAATTAATCAAATAGTTAAAATACTAATAAATATATTATACATAAAAAACTGTTTTTCAAAAAAATACGTAAAAATGAACAAGTTATTCCTCAAGAACAACCACTTCTCTCTGTTGAATTTTAGACATGGACCCATTTATTTCTTTGAGTGAGATTAAAAGATCGTTATTGTTTTTTGTAAGTGTGTCTCTGATGATCTGAAGAGGAATTTTCTTTCCAAAGTTCATTTGGATAGCAACTAGAAGCTCGAATGGGTACTGATGTTCCTCTTCACTGACTGAGTCCATTGTGTTTTGACTTTTAGACACTCATTATAAATCACCTTTCGCCTTTTTCACTCATTCTTCTTTGTCTTTTCGTCCTTTCCATTATTTTAACTTTTTGTTTATTATTTGACTTTATTTTTCATTTTTTGAGAAAATATTTCAATATTTATTATTGTAATAATAAAAAACTATAAAATAATTATCATAATTTTAATTCATATAGTCGGGGGATAAATGGCATTAAAAAGGGACAAAGGTAGTTAATTTTGATAAATATAATTTCGAAACTATAATTTTTAATAAATCTATTTAAAGGTCAAAATAAACATAAAATTAAAATATTAATTTAAATTATAGTTTTTTTATTTAATATGATTATAAATTGAATAATTATAAATTTCTATTTCAAAAATAAACAAAAACACCTCAATTTGTTCACTTAGAAAAATGTGGAAGTCTAAAACGCAGCACTTTTATGGTTTGTCTGAAACTTGTTTTGTTAAAGAATTTTTCCTTTGTTTTTTCCTTTGTTTCATTTCTTTTCTGCTCTTCTTCAATTCCAATTGTTTTAATGATAAAATGGTCTTTCTCTTTTCCTTTCTCTATGGGAATGGTTCAACAACGAAAGATTGAAAGATTTCAACAAATGATGGATTTTCAGTGATTCTGTGACACTTTAAAAGATTGACACCGTTGTTAATTCATTAAACTCTGGCATTTTAACCAAATATATCATGAATATATTGAAATACAATTTTTAAACTGATTTTTAGTATTTGAATTGCTTTTTTATGTTGATTGCTTGTGGTTGTTTCATCAAGGGTTCTTTTCTCTTCTTCTTCCATTGTTTTCAAAGATTGAATAATATCAAAAATAGAAAGTTATAGTTTTCTTTTATTATTTTCAAAGTAGTTAATTGAAAAAACCCTTCTAATACTTTTATGATTAAAGAAATTATATTTTATAGTTTTTTACTCAAATTAACTACTTCTGTCCCAAATTAACCCCCTTTATCCCCCGACTATAATTTATATTTTTTATTGTAGTTAATAATTATAAATAAATAGTAAATAAGTACTATAATCATTAAGGTGTTTTAGTTTTTTAAATAAAAAATTTCATATAAAATATCATTTTTTCAATTGTTTTATATTTAATATTTGTTTGTTATCTTTTTAATAAGATTATAGTTATTATACTAATAATATTTGACCCAAAAATTAAAGAGTCACTCTGTTTACTTTAAAAATGATTGTAACATCCACTCGTGATTCTTGGCTGGTGTTGTTGTATATAAAAACACACATATCCAAAGATCCAACCACTTTTTTCTTTCAGTCCAACAATATCAAGACACTCATTGAACGAAAACATGAACTTTAACAAGCCATACCAAAGAGTAATACCATTTTTCGGTCGCCGCAAGTTCAAGTTGGGTGAAAGCAATGGTTCCATCGTCATTTGTTTAATCATTTGAGCGTCTCAGACGTAAGCTATAACAACATGTTGAACCTTACTAACAATAAAATCGATACACAAAAAGTTGCCAAAGATATTTACGATAACTGGAATCTGCAATGCTACTTCGTTTATTTTTTAATTACCTTTGTTATCTTTAACTCATTTTTTACATGATATTTGATTTGTCTCCAATTCTTGGCGGAAGGGGAGAATCTTGTCAAATTGATAAGAACAGTCAACTCTTCTTTTAAGATTGTGCCTTTAAAAGATCTTGTTGATTTTCTTGTTTTAATTGCATCTATGACATCTTTGTGTCCTTCTGGAACGTTTTCAAGTGGTTTTTCAAAGAGAGTGATTGCTTTACTTCTGCAGATTGAAGAACAATGTCTACATTTAAAGCAACTTTTCACAATCATGATCTTGTGGTTTCCCACAATCATTGTGTTATGCAGTCATGTCCACACATACCACATCCTTAGCACAACTCAGTCTTAATCTTCGAGCAACTTATATGATGTTTTTCTTGTCTACATGCTTTTTTGCCATTTACTCGAACATAAAATTTGTGAGTCTTTGTGGTGGTGTTGTGAACACAAAACTTGTTAAATGTTTTTTTTTCATTGAAGAGATCAAATTTGTGAAGACACACGACAATTCTTATGTGTTGGCAATTTGAGTGAAGGTGCAGATGTCTGTGATATCACATGTTGAAGAGTTTACACTTCGGATCACGCCGAGCGTTGTGACGGTTTACAAATGGTGTGCATCAGAAATTAGATTATTTCTGACAATAAATTACACGATTAAAACAAACACAACAATCCCACTTGTTACAAAGTCGATTGAGAGTGGTGATGAAACAGTCAACAACTTCAACATGAAGGCAAACACAGAAGTGACAAGAGTCTTGATCCAAACGAACTTGGAAAAGATAAGCATGTTGGTAAAAGCTCGTTTTGTGTTGTCTTTATTGGCACATTCAGAAGTAACACAATTGTGAATAAGATGTTGACACAGACAGTAGACCATGTGATACTTAATAGTTATATTGAAAAGTCTAAAGAAAATGCAGATGCTGGACAAGTCCAGAAGTGAGCACATTGTCGATATCCTAAAAACTGTTTTAGGATATTGACAATGTGCTATTAAGTCACAATGCATTCAATTTGTATGCATTGTGACTTAATTTGCAAAACACGGCAGTTTGACGGATTTGATTAAGAAGACAAATCAATGCAACATCGAAAAAAGCGTTAAAATTGAAACAGACACAGAACGCGGCATAAAATACCTCCACAGAAACGGAATCTTACACAGAGACATCAAGCCAGACAACATCCTTGTTGTGTCGATGGACTGTAACGACATTGTCTTTGGGAAGCTGATCGACTTTCGGAGTGCGTGAAACGTCAACATGCTGAAGACCAACATGACATTCACACTTGGTCTTGGAACACCAATTTACATGGCACCCGAAATACTAAACCAAAAATACAAAAAAAGAGTTCGACAATTCAACACACTAACGTATGGGTTTTATTTATTTTGTATTATAAAATGCTTTTTGGACCACATCTAACGTTTCTTTAATAGATGAAGATTTCTTATCAACTCAAACAAACTTTTGGTGTTAACTTATTGACCTTTTATTGTCTTTTATCAAATAAGTAAATTATCATTTTTGATCTAAAATATATTTTGAAAAGAATAGTTTATATGAAATACTTTTCGACAACTGTTTTCTATCTTTTTGAAAAAAACACATTTTTGAATTGCCTAAAAATATCACTAAAAATAAAAAGCTAAGTATTTTTATTTTACTAAAATTTGTTTATTTATCAAGTTTTTTCGTTGGTATTGAAATACAAGTTTTCCCTTATTTTAATCAAATAATTTTAATAAAAACACGATTTTTTTTCAAAAAAAACAACAAAATAACATTTTAAGTATTTTATTGAGAAATCAAACTAATATAATAAAACTCGAAATAATATAAATTAAATAATGGAAATAGTTATGTCTAATAAAAATGTTAATGATTCGATAATCTATTAATTTCAAATTAAATTAAAGTTTTTTAATATAATAAGAACAAAACCTCTTTAATTCTTATCTGATATATAAACAAACTCATTTTATTTAAATACAAAATGCAACACCTTGAAATGTTTTATTTAGCACAAGTCTCCCTTTATCTTCCAACGATGAAGGACGTTGCTAACTTTGTTCAAGTGAATCACAAAACTTATCAATCAATTTCTTGTTTAAAAGTGAATCCTTGGTTCACTACAAAAGAGGACATTGAAAAATTTTGTAACATTCACACGACTGACACAATCAACTGCAACTCATTTAATATTTCAAAAGAACTTTTGAATAAAGCCACTTTCATAAGAAATTACTTGGTATCATATGAGGAAACGAAGGATTGGATAACATCAGAATTTTGCAGTAAATTTACCACATTCATTTTGATGGAAAGTGTTGCAATTAATACAGAAATGTTTTCACAAATGTTTAAAATTGTAATCGACTCCAATGTTACCAAAGTCAAAATGACAGTCCGAACATTTTACAACTTCCTTTTGTATATAAAAGAATCTGTTGACATTAAAATTCAACGCAAATTGTTTAAAACAGTGTTTTTGTACTTCCAACCATGTAAGAGTTACGCGATATATATGGGGGATCAAGACGAAACTTCTGAAATGTTTGAGAAGATTAACGAAGCCGTTAAAACACTTTCCTGTGACATATACATAGATTGGTCCGATGAAAAGGGATTTGATCAATATGTTAGTCTCACGCCAAACTGCAAGAATTACGCTTCGACAATATTTTTAGATGTATTAGACACGTTCCATCCAATTTGTAACAGTGGTTTATTGACAATCAACACAACAGGATTTAGAAAAATGAAAGAGACGACTAAACTTGAAAGTGTTATTCGTAATTGTTACCCGACAAAAATAGAGTTTGTTGGCAATGGAATTGATATGTCACAAATGAAGTTGGATGATACAATTGAAGTCTTGAAAATAAAATACATAGAACCACAAAACGAAACGGAAATGGGTAATAATACTAACGAGTTTACACTACCAAAGATATTAAATGTAAATAAAGTTGTTTGTGTGGACACTCAAATAACATTTTTTGATATATATCCTTCGGTGAAAAAGGTGTCACTTGAAAACTTTACTTGTGAAGTAAAAACTACTGGAAAAAGTGTTAAAAAAGTGTGGGAAAGTATACATGATTTCCCATTTGTTTGTGTTGAAGAAATGTTGATTAAAAATTCGAGAAAGGAATTTGACTTTATGATGTTAAAACAGTTGAAGAAGTTAAATATAGTATACACAAACAACTGTGACATTTTTGTGAATAAAAGCTGTGCCAAAGATATTAATTTGACTCAATTGAATAATTGTACGGTGACAATCGACGCAGAAGAACACAACGATTTTTCTTTTAATATGTTCACAAATACAAATTTCGTGTTTTTGAACGACAAAGACTTGAAATTACATTTTAGTAATTGCCAAAATATGAGCGTGACAACACAGAATGTTATCAATTCATTAACACTTGACAGTTGTGCCAAAACAGCAGTGTGCAGCAAAGTCATAAATTTGAATGTGAGTAAATCGGAACTTACAAGTTCACATCAAATCTGTGCAGAGAATATAACACTTTGTACAATCAAAGACTTCATCCCAATAAGTTTTATAGAAACTAAGAAAGTGTATTTATTCAACATGAACAATTTCGTATTCAAAAACACTTTTGAAAATTGTACGACTCTGAAAGTTGATTACTGCGACAATTGTGAGTTTTGGTTTGAAGCAAATAAGTTGGAAATACTTTCACTTAACAGTTCTAAAAACATTCAATTTGTTGGCAATTTTGACTCAATACAAGGTTGTGTTGTTTCGAATAATTCAACTTTCAAATTTCCATCAAAACTCAATTCAATTTGTCACAAAGTTCAAAGTAGCAATGAAGATAATGTTTGTGTCACTGAGATGATGACTTATGAAGAATACAATACAGCTAAAGATAAATTAGTCTCATCATATTCAAAAATGGCCAATAATAACATGCGCGATTTGGACACAAAAACTGAAACTGTTGAGACAAAAGATGTTGTGATCGACCATCTAAATTTTGTATTAAGAAATTGTGTTTGTTCGCCTACAAAGTCGATTTGTTTGATTCAAAAAATTGATATTTTAAACTTTTTTACAATTGAAAATTATTGCGGGAGTTTACCAAATTTGTGTGGTGTTGTTTGTGGAACTTTTGAACTTGTGAATTACATTAATCCAACACCAGGAGGTCTTATTCAATTTGGCGCACCCAATATCATATTTAAGAAGTGCGTAGATTTGGGTTTTATTTTAGATGGCGC